TGGGAAAATTCTTCTTCTACCAGTCCTTCATCACCTTAAACGAAATAGGGTGAATTCATCTAATTACACTGATTTACTGGTGGTCTCGAAACCCTACTCACTTACGAATATAAGCTTTTACTGTCATATGATGGACATCATCATTCCTACAAGTCAAAAAAATTCACCAGCTCATTCTTAGACTTTGTGTATTCAGACAGGCCGCGATAAATGATAGTTTAAATATTGTGAAATTAGGTTTAGTAAAAGACAACAATTTGCACCAGCTAGCATTTAATATGAGATATGAATAGGCAGGGCGGAAGGGGAAATACCATAACTGTTTTGTACACATTTGGTCAAAGGATGGGCTTCATTGTCTCTTTGACGAGTTGTAATATGGAGCCGACTACGATGCCGGCGAAACGTCTGGGAATGTACCACGTCCACGGTCCGACTTTGCAAAGTATTATGCATACAATGGACTCCGGACAAGGTGCGTTCCTCTAAGTCTTCTTACCAACATGACCAAGTTGAGAAAATAAGGTCAAACAACTTCTGTACAACGAAAGGAGACCTCTACCACACAAAAGGCCACACCATCTTGGTCTTCATACCTTCAATATAAGATAAAGTTGAATTGTTGCTGGTCTAGCTTACAGGGCGGCGGAGTAGACGCATCAATTATCGTTTGGCAGTTGCCCCTTACGCACGTGATGATGCTTGTCACGCCATCGAGTTTTATGCGACAGTAAAGTATAATAAGAATGATATAACATCCCCTTAGAAAATATGTAAAAAATAATAATGCTAGAGTGAATATTGGAGATGAAAAGATAAGCGTTTGGCACTACACTAATACTAAAATTTCATATAATAAAAAGCCACAAACATGCTGATAGCGAATTAAATATTGTTTTCGTGACAACCAGTAAATCAGTAGTATGAGATGTATTCACCCAATCTCGTTTAAGTGGATGAAGGACTGGTATATGTGAATTTTTAAAGAAGACCAGGCCTTTTCGCCATACCATATTCTTTTGGTGGAATTGTCGATGAAGCAAACGTATTTATGCTATCACAATCGACCACTATACTTTATTTTTCGAATTAATTATTGTTTTCGTGACTACCAGTAAATCAGTAGTATGAGGTGTATTCACTCAATTTTGTTTAATGTGGTGAAGGACTGGCAGAAGAATTTTCAGCTCAACTCATATGATTGAGGGAAAATTCTTCTTCTACCATTAATTCATCACCTGTAACGAAATTGGGTGAATACATCTCATATGATGATAGCGATTACACAATTGGCAAATTCGTCGAAATGCCTTAATCAACGGCACAAAATATCGTAAGACACGCAGATGAAATGAGGGAAACGTTGAAATGGGGCATCAAATTGAAGCCGTTTGAAAGCCAACCGTTGGAGTGGAATTGCTACAGTGACAGATTTGTGTGAGCATATTAAAATGACATTTTCTACCGGCAAACACGACAAAATTACTGCCTCGACTACATCTATTAAAAGTCGTAACAGATTAAACCGACTTTTTAAGAAGAAATCTTGCACAGGCGATTGCTCAAACACCGTGTGATTGCTTTGCCTAACACAGACCAACAGTTTTTAATACTTTTTGACTATTCCTAAAGATTGTATTGCATTAAGAAACGTATAAACAAGTGTACTATTGTGAGTTTTAACAAGTTCTCCTAACGGGATGATCTCTTCGAATAGTGCGATATTTTTGCAGAACGAATTACTCGTACCAATTGCAACCCTAAACTTGTGTCTGTTGATAAGGTATAAAGTGATTTGGTTAGAACAAATCATATGTCAATCTGGAAGCACGAGTGTCTGTCTGCATGTGTGTACTTTGGTGCCTGCGTGTGAAAGTATATATACTAAAACGGAACTTAACACCCATCCTTAGTAATCATGATGCAAGAACCCCTAGCCAGCCCAATTTTTGTTGGTTTTACGTCTGGTTAGGTTGATGCGCTTTGTATTGCCTATGTTCATCCTATTTCAGGTAGGTTGATAAAGTTATATATATATATATATATAATATGAATGGACATGACGTTTCTATTCAATTTCACACAACCTTGCTCATCCAGGGTGGATTACAATTTCGGCCTTGCCCAGATCTCATCAGCACCCCTAACGGAACTCGAACCATGGTACTGCAGTGTATGAGCTCGACACACTAACAAATACGCCAAACTGCCACGAGGGCCGTTGGGTCACTGGGAATATGTGAATTTCTAGAAAGAACAGACATTTTCTCATACCACATTCTGTGGTTGAATCGACTACATTACTTATTTTTCATTTATAAGCAGGATTTCGAGATGTAACATTTATGGTCTACTGGTAGTTTCGAAAGATTACTTGTAAACGAAAAACGATAACCTTTAAATCTGTGTGGGAGAGAGCAGGTGTAAACGAACACGCATAGAAAGTCTGATCTTGATAAGAAACAATTTGCAGGTCGATCTTTCTAACTTTTAACTGATCTTC